CCCCCCCCCCCCCCACCTTCCTCCCACTCCCTCTTTATTGTTTTCTTGTCGTTTTGGTTTTTTTCCTTCCTATAACTGAGTGTTATACAGTACCCGGGGCTCCGCCTCGGAATGTAACTGGACGAGCGATCAGCACAACTGCCATTGAGGTATCATGGGAACCACCGCCAAATGAAAGCACCAATGGAAAGATCGCTTACTACAAACTTCAGGTGGTGGAAACAGGACGTTCTGACTCGGAGGCCCGTGTTATCAGGCTCATTGACACCAAATTCACATTGGATGAGCTGAAAAAATGGACGACATATCGTATCTGGGTAGCCGCTGGGACCAGCGTAGGTGACGGGCCACCGAGTTATCCTATCACTGTCAGAACCTACGAGGACGGTATGTATCTATTGATGAAGTGACCAAAATGGTTTTTCTTTTCATTTTCATTTAATTTGGCGGGGAAGGGGAAAAGAATATGCAGGTGAGATGGTCCATCCAGAATCTTTATTTGCAATTTAATCAATAATGTTTTATTGAAATAATGGACCAGTCTCACTGGAGTTTCAGCCACAGTATTCCAAAACAGCGACGTATTTCGAAGACTTCAAGTGAGCCAAAAATATAAAAGCCCGCCACACGATTTCACTGATATGTAAATAGCTTTTTGCATCAATTATTCAAGGTTCTGTCGGGGCTGAATTTATAAATAATGACGTCGGGTTTTTTATTGAAAATATTTCAGATGCCATTTTTTACACTTATTGTCATCTCAATTTCTCCTCTCTTTCCTTCAATCCATACCGCCTTTACACAATGACACCATATGTTACTATTCAGTAATTCAGAGATACGTTCGGGTACATAATTGACACTTCCTGAACATGTAGTTGATTATTTATGGAGTTTTTCCAAATACTTTCATACAGAACGTGAAGATATAATTCCACCTATAGAATACTGACAGAATAGATAAATGATTCAAACCATCCTGCAAATAATGGTGATATAATTTTTGGCATGAGAGAAGAAAATCCGGATTAAATTGAATGAAATTCCAGAAATTACGATTTTTTTCAGTCCAAACCACCGTGACCGCAGAGAACCGAAATATATCGCGTGATACTCGCACGAATTGGTTATTCGATGTATTAAACTCTTGAAAAAAAAATCAAATAACAGTAGTGGGGCCAATATTATTGGCTGGCGAGATTTTATATTTTTGGAATGTTGGTAGCGTCGAACCACAGGAACGAGGAATCCGGTTAATTTCATAAGAGCCCTCGTCCTTTGGTAGTGCGTTCGGTAAAAAAGTTCATTTGAATTTTTACGTTGTACCTTTCAATTTGGTTTATTTTTATACTCTTTATGTTGGAATGCTTGCGTCGAAACCAGGAGGACGAGGGACGGTTGAATTACGTTATTTTTATTTATGAGTTTTTTTTTATAAAAGCACCTCGTCCCCAATGGTATGCGTCTAGAAATTTTTTTCAGGTCCAACCGGAGCCCACGGATTTTGTCGGATGCTGATGAATATCATTTTGTTGATTAATTTGAATTCAGCCAATTAATTGTGGAAAGAGGCATTTTTTTATTTATAACAAAATTTTTCCAGGTGCCTCTCTATTCTTTGTGCTCGTGACTCGTGATATTTTATGTTCTCTAATTTTTACATTTCATTTCGCATATCTTTTCCAATTAATTGAAAAGAATTACAAAAAAAAGAGGAAATTGATTCTAAACACGCTAATGAATGCTCACGTGTTTTCTGTCTTTTCCTTAATGCATTTGCAGGAGGATGTATTCCAGGTTTTCATAACAGCTAGTACTTAAGAATTATTTACACTTGAAAATAATAACCTGATAACTGTGTACCACATTCAAACTTTCTATGCTATTATTTTCACATTTTTCTGATGACTGAAGTGGCTCAGAAAAAATATACACTATGACTTTTGCCCAAATTCGTTCACTCATTCTTGGCACATAAAATGACAATGTCATGAGCAGTGAGTTATCTCAGAATTGGCAATTAGAGTTTTTTTTTCTATAATTTCAAAATTGTATCGTTCACTAAAAATCGTCAATTGTAAAGCGAATTGTGTATAATTGCCAAAAAGAGACAGCAAACTGCTGCTTCATACCAAACATTTCCATAAAGATACATGAAATCACAACACTGGCATGTGACTCTCACACAGAAAAAAAACAGAAAAATTGATTTTAAAAAAATTTACCATCTCTTTCAAATATAACACAATATATATTTCTATCTCTCTGATATAAAGCTCTACTGTCTTTAGTTGAGATTTAGTTCTATCGTTTGCACATGTTAGAGCATGCTTACGTTTGTTTAAAAATCCCTCGGATGACCCAATCCCTCGATAATCGAGCTCTCAATCTTTTCCATCTGAAAAAAAGGAGAGTCTATCATCTCCTCTTTTGGCCCGTCTATACTAATACCCTGGTCTTGTGCATCCCAACACCAAACACCCGCTAGTTCGTCGTCGATAAACTGGGCCGAGTCTGCCGGGACACACACTCCCCAATTTTTTGCCAATCGATTCCGAAACTTCAGGAGTCGATTCAAAAAATATTTTCCCCCCATCGTTCTCATTTTATTTCTAAATATATCCCAATCCCTATGAATGGCATGCCGATGCACGGGACATTTTGCTTTACTTTTCAAAGACAATCAAAAATAATATAAAAAATGAAAAATCCTTATCCCGTGTTCCGCTTTACCGGTCTCGCATGTCGTCCGGATTTCCTTCGACGACGGAACAAAAAAAAATGTCAAGTTTTTTTTTTCGTTATTCATAACACGAAATCACTCTTCACGCACTACCGCGCAGTCGAACAATAGACCATGTACATTTGGTCGTTACATCTTGGTCTCTCAATAAGCAAAAGAAGTAATGAATTGAAATTACAATTACATTGGAACAGACCGTATATCCTATCCCAAAATTTTCCCAGTTCCACTCCACATTGATCAAATTGCAAAGTATTCCAATTCGCCTTCGAAGAAGAGAAAATAATCAACTGACAAAATCAAAATTCCCCCGGATATGAATATGATAAATGAGACCGAAAAATCAATCCAATGCAGACTCGGCAGAGAAAGAGACAAAATAATGAAGCACCGCTGAAAGCACCCTCATCGTACGATCATAAGCTTGCACTGTGTGAAAAGCACCAAATTAATACCACAATATTGCGTACGGGCACTTCGACCACTTTCGGTGGGAGCACCATTGCACCACTGTGTACAAGCACACGTGTATAAACATATGTGGACCGACTGCAAACATAATTTTGCGCCTGTAAAGAGTTTGCGTATTGAATCAGATCAGAATAGTCCAGTAGATTACAAAATAAGTCAAGATTTTGTGCAGCAGTCTTTGTATGTTTATTCACCAAATTTATTACGTATATAATCTCACGGATAACGGAATAGTTCACGCACAATATTTAATAAACGTGTCGAGCACCAGTAAGCACTGAGAGCACCCTAAGAAGCACCCTAATATCGTCTCAGACGAGACCTCGTCCTCATAACTGACACTCTCTGGTGGCTATACGCGTACAAAGATTATCATTATTTTTTCTTCTCGACCATAAAACTTTTGGTATGTGAGGAGAGCCCTCCAGAGTGCGTCAGATGTGCGGTCGGGCGTGTGAATGAGTGCGTGAGTGCGGAAATAAAAAAAGAGGTCAGATGTTAAAACGAAAAAAATACATATATATGTATATATGTGGGAGAGAAAAAAGTACGTATAAAGAGTGGAAACCGATGAAGAGGAAGACTAAGGAGAAGGGTCGCTTGAAAGTATATATATTGCTTCGGGGAATATGAAAGGAGGAAAGGTGGGGTTGTGGGAGGGATAAGAGGGGATTGCAAAATCGAGGGTGAAATATTATATATCGAAGGAGAATAATAAATATCGGTTGAATCGAGAGGGGGAGAGATTCATTGGTGATGGAAAGGGGAACATTGTACGTTCTTATCTCGACAGAAGGAATCGAAATTTTTTTCCACACTTTTTTTTTCATTCATCTCCCGAAGTGATAACTTTAGGTACATTTGAATACCAATACAATTGATTTCTACAGAATCTTGACATCTTTTTGATACGTACGGTAGACTCTTGTACCGACGTTTATGCGATATTTACTGCTGTATAAATGAATTTTTGAGGTGGTCCAGCACACAGCGTCTCTCCTCTAAAACGGAAGAGGACATGATGCTTAATTGTGTTATGTTGTTTTTTTTTTAATGTGTATGGTGGTGAAATGTTTTCCTCACCATCCATTTATTCTCACTTATACGTAATTTCATTAGAAATTTTGTGTGGAGCAATATCAATTTTGTCGTAAGCACCACTTTTTTTTGGACGATGAAAATTATTTATTGTCGTTTTAAATCACCAATTGTATAAAAGTGAAGTCACCTTTTTACCAATGCTTCGTTTTTCCATTAAAAAAAGAACTACAGAGTTAATGACAGATATTGGATAAATATATTGGAATGTTAATCACACATTAAGGTTATTTGAACGAATACTTTTTTGCCGTAATAAACTGCTCTGTGCATGGGACTCGACCAGTTTTTTCATCATCTGTCTGTAAGTTACCAGATAATTTTAATAATTCCATCGTACGTATATATAACGCCTTTACTTCACCTTACACATATCTTGTGCATTCACATATATATACTATATATAATGATGTTGAACATATCAAGCGACTGCGCATCTGTATTTTTACCACGTCTTGCGCGATCTAGAGTATTAAAAATTTGAGTTTGTTTATAAAATCTTCTATTTTGATTATTTTTCCAATTTTTGTTATTCACGTTAATGTAATTGAGAGGTATTGTAAAGTTGGACTGGCAGGTTTTAGTAGCTGCAAAATATTCATTCGCCCCCCCCGAGGGCTTCGGCTTATGTTTGTGATATTGAATTCAATGAATTTCCTTTCTCATTTTATTGTTTATATTGATTTACTGTCGACGTATATCACCAATACCCAAGTAATGTACGCATGGTACTGTCTGCCCGAATTTTTTAGTTACGCCAATGATACACATGTTATATATCACAATATTTTGAAGGCCAGTAGTGGAAAAAAGAAATGCTAGCCAATTACGGAGTATCGCTGCGATTTGTACAGACAATTTGAAGATTGTTGAATTATAGAAAAATATAGCAAAAGGAATATAGAATTCATCGAAAGGGTGTTCGTCACTGGTATGTGAGTAAAAGTGAGCGAGGGGTGCATAAATACCAATATCTCGTCAGACGCGAAGATGAGATGTAGATAAATAAACAAATAGAATGGAGCTCGCCCCAGACTACTACGAATTCTTCCCAATTTTCCACACGCTCCACACCATATCTAACGACTACTTGTCGATAACTTTTCATCATTGTGAAAAGTACTTTTTTATGTATTTCAATCTCACTTTGACAATCCTCAATTGCACATCACATTGAATATTGATGTGCGAGTGATAACGCGATGCCAGCGAGTTTCTCGGGTTTTTCGACTTCCCACTCTAATCATTGATACGTTGCTACTCACCCCTCATCTTTTCTGTTGCCTCAGAATCCTTAAACGTTGTCATATTTTTAATCCCTCGTTTTAATATTTTTTCAACTTTTTGTTTGTAAGCATAATATAGGTCTTCTTTTGATGCGTCTGGAATTAAGGAGGACAATGTCTTTCATCATTCCATCCCATTAATAATTCATCACTTATTATCAACTGACTGTAGAGGAGTTATTGAATTTTATCGAAATGACTATTTCTTGAGCATCAATCGTTTTTTTTTCACGTTTCAAATTTTATCTACTGAGCTCCCATAATTCAAGACGCATGGACATGAGCCTTTAGTTACATTATATTTGGAGTAGTGATTGCGCATGCTAAAATGGAAAAAGAGAAAATAAATAATTTAAATGAAAGAATTAAGAAAATTGAAAAATATTCTCACGTCTCCCGCCTCTCTGTGACCAACCGCAAACTGAGAGGACCAAGTCTTGTCTTTTAATTTTCGTTATTTGCTATGATTTATTTATCAACAGACCGATTATTGACAATGAATAATTATATTTTTTTTCATCTCCAATAAATTGTCATTTTTTGTCCATGGCGAGAATGAGCTGAAGTGTGATTGTGTATGTGTGGGACATCATTATAATTTTTTTAATACAGACTAGTGAAATGCAAACGCCGTGAATGCGAGCACCCAGGCGACTGGATGACCGGCAATGTTGGAGGAGAAATAACTTGTTTGTTTTCAATTAATCCCACATCAATTGCATGAAGTGTGAATGTTTGTAAACCGAGAAAAACAGTGCATGCAAAAAAAAGGCGTGAATGTAGAGTGGATGGGAGGAATAATTCAGAGTGATATAACGAAAAACGTGTAGATGCTACCCGAGAATTTTTTAATACCATAAATTACCTCTTCTTAATCTAATAAAAACTTTTGTAAATTAATTCATGTACGTCAGAAATAGACACGAAATTTTACGAGTTTTTTGTTTTCCCACTTTTTTGGCGACAATGTGGGGCGCAGATGTCAAAAGTGAGTATCCATTCTACCTTGAAAAACCATCGAGTTCATTAACGATATTTTTTAAGATAACCTTGTCTAAAAGAGAAGTAATTCCCTTGAAGAAAAACCGTGATGTAATATTTTTTTGTTGTTTAACTCACCTCGAGTGGAATAATTATGTACCCGTCTCGCTAGGACAAATGAGGAAAATAAAAAAAGAATAATTTTTTTGCATACTTCCGAAGAGGCAGCAGGAAGCAAGTTCGGCCACCGTAAAACGCTGGAGCTCGCGACTTTTTGTTGTTCTCATAATTTTTATTTCCATAATTCTTTACCTATATAATTTTCAAACATTCAGGCAATTATAAGTTGTTATTTTAGCTAGCCAAACAATTGTAACAATTTTTTCGAAACACGTTTGTGTGTGTACAAAGTATCATAAAAATGCACAGCAAAAATGCAATTGTTATTCATTTGTTTAAATCCCAAAATGTCTGTTTTTTGACGTAATCACGCATTTAACATTGTTTCATTTGCTAATTCATTATTGGATAATAATTATGATTTATCCATTTGTTATATATACCGCAGAAATCGTTTAACCGTAGTAGCTGTGTTTTTTATCATTCAATTGCTCGCGACAAAAATGTAGGTAGGCAGTGGCAGTGCTGGTTCTGTTGAAAAGAAAATATATATATTTTTTTATTGTTTTTCACATTTACCTAATCGTTTATTATTTCTGTATATTATAAACGGCGCAACCACTCATCATACGTCGGATACTGGATTGTCCATGACGGGCAAACGTTATTTACCAAATCATAATTGATTCTACAAGTTCCATAGGACTAAAGCATGGATAGAAAAGTGGAGAATACCCAATTTGTGATTTTTTTTGTGAATTGAGAGGGAAAAAAACAGAGAAAATCAGTGAAGCACAATTTGCAATATTATCATTATGTTTACATTGATTTTGTGATTATTTATTTGGGCACAGCTTTTGCGATGTTATGAAGCACACCACTTATTTATTACTCACATTTATATCACGGATGTATATTGTCATCTTTGTAGATAATAAACTGATATTATTTTTTTTCTCATCATGGACTCTCCAATAATACCGTCGGTGAGAATATAATCGTCCATTATTCAATTATCAATATTCAACGTAAGAAGAAAAAAAACGAAAGAAACAAGAGATTTGCATTTATTCTGCTAAAAGAATTATTGGTATTCAAATGGGGGGATCTTTAGATGGTAGGGGTGTGTGTCGAAGGAAAAATAAAACCGTTCGAGAGTATGACCTACTTCACGAATTGTCTGTACGTTGTACTGTCTGAATGTGAATCCCGGTATTTTAATTTTCATTTAATCTTTATTTTCACGTACTAACCGATTAATCCTGAACCGATTTATTTTCCAACATGGTTTATGCATTTTTCATGCTATTTTCAACTAACCATTGTCCCGTACTACTCTGTTATCTTCGCTTTCGACTAATTCATATTGAATTGAATTACATTCACATCATATTATTTTTATGCATTTTATCATTTTATACTCATACATTAATGCCATTGAAGCAGGATTACGGTTCGGATTTATCTCTGTTTTATAATTTCACCTTTTATTCTATTTTCAGATTTTCAAAAAACAGATATCATTATCCTTTGTACAACTATATTATTTATTTTTAATTTTGATTCAATATTTTACCTCGTATGAATGGTTGTAAATGTGTTTGCATATGATTTCACCATTGTTGTATAATTTTGAACGAAAATTAATATTGAGTTGCGTTACAGTGCCAGGGAATCCTCAGGACGTCAAAGCAACAGCCATAAATTCAACAACCATTAGAGTCGAGTGGAAACCACCACGTGTCAAGGACCAAAATGGCGTAATTCGAGGATATCATGTGCATGTACAGGAAGTTAGAGAAGAGGTAGAACAACTCAATTATTTTCATTCAAATATCCATAATATCGGTATAATAAATCTATTCAAAGGGCAAGGATTTACTGAACGAACCGATACGACGAGACGTCCATGAAGAGGGGGTACTGGCAATCAATATTACTGGCCTCCAGCCAGACACCAGCTACCACGTACAGGTTGCAGCGTTGACCAGAAAGGGCGATGGGGATCGTTCGCCGCCAGCGAAAGTTAGGACTCCCGGGGGAGTACCAAATCGTCCACAAGTTAATGTGAAGTACGTGAAGTGCCCCAGCAATTAGATCCATCCATTTTGATCAAGCCAATTTGAAAATGTGATAGTGCCCTTTATTAACAAATACTTTAAACTTTTTTATCTTTCAGAGTTAGCAAACTGGATCCAATAACACTGGAGCTTGAATGGGCTAAGCCAACGCAAGCTGCTGGCCAATTAATTGGTTATCGAGTGAAATATGGCATTAAAAATCACACACTAAAAGAAGAAATAATAAACAATACTCATCAGTACACTTATAAGATCAAGGATGTCGAGCGTGGGGTACATTATGAATTTCGGGTAGCTGGTGAGAATGACAATGGTGTAGGTCAGGAGACAGTGAAGTACTGGGTGAGTCCCGAGGGTGAGCCCACAGGACCCCCGACAAATCTGTCATATCACTTCCAAACGCCCGATATTGTCTGTGTCACTTGGCATCCACCGAGACGTGAGCACAGAAATGGCCAGATTATTCATTACGACGTTGAATTTCACAAGAAGAATGATCACAGTGCGATTGAGAGTAGAAATACAACGCAAACAAGAGCAGTATTCACTAATTTGGAGGAAGCTACTGAGTACGTATTTCACGTGAGAGCTCGCACGTCGCGGGGTCCTGGTCCATATTCGGAAAAAATAACAATTCTTACGGAGAAGGACATTGGCCGAGCCCCCATGGATGTGAGAGCAATAGCGACATCAGAGTCCAACGTTGAAGTTTGGTGGGAGCCTGTACCAAATCGTGACAAAATCATAGGCTACAAAATTTTCTATACAATGACTGCTGTAGAAGATTTGGACGAGTGGAAGCAAAAACTCGTTGGTATGACCGAGGCCACGGACTTGGAGAATTTAGAGCGTGACACTGAGTACGCTATTGCAGTGGCTGCAAGGTACAAGGGCAGAATGCTAGATACATTGGGAAGACTTAGTCAAAAGGTGACGGTTAAAGTTAAACCAGAGGATGTACCCCTTAATCTACGCGCTTCTGACACATCAACACACTCAATGACACTATCATGGACACCGCCGATAAGACTGAACCCCATAAACTACAAGGTATCCTTTGACGCCGTTAAAGAGTTTGTTGATTCTCAGGGAATAACACAAATGCAAATAGTGCCTCGTAGAGTTATAACTCTCGATCCACAGGCAACTGCAACGACAATCGATGAACTACAGCCATTTACAACTTACAATGTTAACGTTAGTGCAGTACCACCAGACTCATCGTACAAACCACCAGCTAAAATAACTGTCACAACACAAATGGCAGCACCAAAACCCATGGTTAAACCAGATTTTTATGGTGTTGCTAATGGTGAGACTATACAAGTTATCTTACCACAGGCATCTGAGGAATATGGACCAATTGCCTATTACTACTTAATCGTTGTGCCGGAGGATAAGTCTACGGCTAACAAACAACCGGATGAATTTACCGAGGATATGATTACGGGGAAGGGGGCTAAACACGATAAGGAAACTGCGCCCTATACTGCAGCTAAATTCTCACATAGAGCCATTCCATATACATTCCATTTGGGGAGTAATGAGGAGATTGGAGGTTTTGTAAATAAAAAATTGGAGCCGAAGAAAAAGTACAGAATATTTGTGAGGGCTATTGTCGATACGCCTAAAAAGGTATTGATTTTGTTATGCAATTCAATTGTTACTTCTGATAATACTCGTCTTTGCAGGAGAAACAAGTTGTTGTCTCTGAAGCCTCGAGAATATTCTCCTCTCTACCATCGTATTCTCTTTTTAAAATGCCTTTTTTTTCTCAATCCACACAGCACTTGTATACATCGTCGCCGTTCTCCGAGTATCTTTCCCTGGACATGAGAGAGGTACCACCTGGCGAACCACCAAGCAGACCAAATCCCGATAATCCAGTTGATGGTAATCCAGAAATTTCCGTAACAAACAGCGGTCAAGAGCCCGGTATGGTGTGGGTAGTTGGTCCAATAATAGCAGCATTAATGGTCAGCGTTTGTCTCGTATTACTATTCGTTATAAAAAAGTAAGTATAGCCAGTCAATAATTAGCAAAAATCAATGAATTATAAACTATTATTTATGATATATTCGTTATCTTGGCATCCAATTAGACGCAGACAGCCGTGCAAAGCACCAGATCAGGCAGCTGTCACTAGGCCCCTCATGGCAGCAGACATAAGCTCAAACCACGCACCGTCAGATCCAGTTGAGATGAGACGACTAAACTTTCAAACTCCCGGCATGATATCCCATCCACCAATTCCTATCAGTGAACTTGGTAATCACATCGAACGTCTCAAGGCCAATGACAATCTTAAATTTAGTCAGGAGTATGAGTCTATTGAACCGGGACAACAGTTTACGTGGGATCACTCTAACATGGAAGTTAATACATCGAAGAATCGTTATGCCAATGTTATCGCTTACGATCATTCGCGAGTCATTTTACAAACAATCGATGGAATTCCGGGCTCTGATTACATCAATGCCAATTACTGCGATGGATATAGAAAGCAAAATGCCTATGTCGCAACGCAGGGCCCACTGCAGGAGACATTTTCCGATTTTTGGCGAATGTGTTGGGAATTAAGAACAAGTACAATCGTGATGATGACAAAATTGGAAGAACGTACGAGAATAAAGTGCGATCAATACTGGCCGACTCGTGGCTCTGAAACTTACGGCCAAATGACTATTACTATAAGTGACATCCAGGAATTGGCAACTTATTGCATCAGAACATTCCAAGTTTGTAGATCGGGCTATTCCGAGAGACGGGAGATTAAGCAATTACAATTCACAGCTTGGCCGGATCACGGTGTGCCGGAGCATCCTGCCCCATTTCTGCAATTTTTACGGCGGGTTAGAACTCTCAATGTGCCAGACTCAGGACCCCTGGTTGTCCATTGCAGCGCCGGTGTCGGTAGAACTGGTTGTTTCATCGTTATTGATTCCATGCTCGAGAGAATAAAACATGAAAAAATGATTGATATTTATGGTCACGTAACGTGTCTACGTGCCCAACGTAATTACATGGTACAGACTGAGGATCAGTACATATTCATTCATGATGCACTGTTTGAAGCTGTGATATGTGGCAATACCGAGGTACCAGCGCGCAGTTTGCATTCCCATATTCAAAAACTTATGCAACCTGAATTGGATAATATTACTGGTATGGAGCTTGAATTTAAAAAATTATCGAATATTAAGGCCGATTCAACTCGATTCATATCGGCTAATTTACCATGCAATAAACACAAAAATCGATTGGTACACATATTGCCTTATGAATGTACAAGGGTATGTCTGCAGCCTCAACGTAATATCGAGGGCTCGGATTATATTAATGCAAGTCTCATCGATGGTTATCGTTATCGTGGTGCATACATTGCCACTCAGGGACCGTTGAATGATACAACTGATGATTTTTGGCGTATGCTTTGGGAGCATAATTCAACAATAGTCGTTATGCTGACTAAATTGAAAGAAATGGGAAGGGAAAAGTGTCATCAGTATTGGCCGTCTGATCGGTCAATTCGCTATCAGTGTTTTGTTGTCGATCCAATTGCCGAATACAACATGCCCCAGTATATACTGAGAGAATTTAAAGTGACTGATGCACGTGATGGTGCTAGTCGCACTGTCAGACAATTTCAATTTATCGATTGGCCAGAGCAGGGTGTACCAAAGTCGGGTGATGGTTTTATTGATTTCATTGGACAAGTGCATAAAACTAAAGAACAGTTTGGACAGGACGGTCCTATTACTGTGCATTGCAGCGCTGGTGTTGGTAGAACCGGTGTTTTCATCACACTCAGCATTGTTCTCGAGCGTATGCAGTATGAGGGAGTTGTCGATATCTTCCAAACTGTTAGGATACTTCGTACACAGCGTCCTGCTATGGTTCAAACCGAGGTAAAATTTTTTCTCTTGTATTAATACAACAACATAATAACTGTAAAATTAAACAAATAAGAAATTGGAAAACCGAGTCGAAAAATTTGGTCCTGAATGTTGAATACCCAGGTCAACAACACTTGGTCTTGGCTTTTTTGATCTTGGCTTTTTTCTTACGTTAATTGGTATTTCGTCTTGTTCAATGGCTCATTTGGCCGGTTTTTGACCTAAAGTTAGAGAAAGGGAAAAAGAGTTTATTAGAACCGACAAATTACTCATCAGTAAATACTAAAGAAGGGGATCTTGTCGTGTACTTGAGGATGAAAACTAGAATTTTTGAGGATTTTGCGCTGACAGAAACTGTAGTTTTGATTTCTAATAACTATCACATTTTTTATAGTTTTTACATCTTCGAAAATCCTTATTGGTTTCGAATATTGAAATTTTTTCAAGTTCAAGTAGTGCAAATTTTTCCAAAAGTTCCATAATTTAAAGTATTGCAAAGTCCAATGACTGAAAATTTTTCTGTCTTTGAAGAACTTGAAAGAATTCAATGAAAGGTAAGTGCATTTTATTGGGTATTTGGACTATTTACCTATTCTCACTGAGCAGGCCAGAGTGGTGGCAAAAACGCGTTAGTTCAAAAATGGACCGATGAGTCCAACCAAATTTTTCGACTTGAGAAGTAGTTAAGGGGAGACCGCGGTAAAATTGAAAGTTGCCGAGGATTGTCTCCACTACGCTGATGATTTTAGTACTTATTTTTTATACTCAAAAAATTAGAAAAATTCGAGTTTTTATTTAACTGACTTGAATTTTGGTTACCACATCCATCATATGTAGTATAATGCAAATTGAAGGCTATGACACAATAAACTATAATTTTTTTCTCAACTTTTGGATCATTCATTATACGATACTGCCATACTAATGATCCAAAAAATAAAAAATAAATTGTACTTCATTGGTGTATCATAGCCTTCAATTTGGGAACACGATTGTCCCCGCCAATTATGAGAAAAAAAGAATGTTTTTCGTCAATATATGACGTTTGCATGGAAAGGGACCACTTTGACGGAGTTGTAAATGATGTTCTCTGGGTATTTTCATCGATTATAAAGAAAGGAAGCACTCAATTTCCGTTTGCAATAAATCAGATATCTTTTTCATGAAAGTAAGAAGATAGTTTCCCAATTTAGCAGTTCCATAATAAATCCCTCATCTTTCCTGCCCGGTTTTCAAGGAATTGAGGAGACCGAAGTGAATTGAGAATATTGTTCGCTGGAGTAACAGTATTTATAAATTTCAACCGACGTAAAAGCTTTTTGTTCCAATCTCGTACAGCTTGAGAATAGAAATGGAACTCTTGGTTGAATATTAATCGTCTCCCTCTGTATTTTCAGGACCAATATCAATTTTGCTATCGTGCAAGTTTGGAATATTTAGGATCATTCGATCATTATGCCAACTGACAACCAGAAACACGCGAGTTCAGAGAACCAACGAGAGACCGGGGAGAGCGCCATATTAGGAGCCGGGAGAGTACTGGAGAAAGGGCAAAAGTGCGACGTGTTTGAATAGAGAAGAAGAATTCACCGAGAATCAAGGAAGAACGGAATAAAAATTGAAAATCACTCCTGACTACGAAAATATGGGGTTTCATCTCTGAGTGATGTCCCCACCCACTCCCCCCGCAAGGCAGCTCATTTACTGGCATAATCGTTGTGTTTTGCAAACTCGCTAGAAGAGACAATGAGTGAATGGTAGTTATTGCGTTTTTTAACTACTGTATTTTGCAGTGTCAGACAGCTAATGGTTGTAATGAGAATAGAAAACAAAAACAAAAATGGGTAATGAAAATAAGTACTGTCTATTGCTCGTGTGATTTTCCGGCAGATCGCAATTACCAGATGGAAATTTTCATTCTCGCTCATTTGTAGAGTATCGAGGAATAACGCTGTAGGAAAATTTTTACTCAAATTAACAATTTAATAGGACAAAAATTAATTAAAACTAGCACAAAACAATTTCCAATTAGTTTAAAAGAGAAATCGGTTGATTATGAATGCCGAACTAAGACTGCCATTTGGGAGCACGTGTCTGTCGGTTGCAAAATGTAAAATCCGATGTTATACAATCCGATGTCACGTGATGGTTTCAGTTTAATATGCGCCTTACGAATTTTTCAGAGTAAAAATTAAAGAAAACATAGGAAATCATCGGTCTTAAATATTTCTTCTGAGTTACGAATAATGTCGCAATCATTTATTGTAAATGCATCAAATTAGGTGAAAATGGTAAAAAAAACTCGGCGGTATTATGTGTCTCAATATCAATCGAGCTGGAACATATCGGAATATAAAGAATCACTATTGCAATTTTGAGGTCTCCGTTTGAAAAGGAAGGAAAAAAAACAGAATCATACGAAAATTTCTTGAGAAACAATTACTCGCGCATCTATTATAACGCGCTATTAATTTTAAGGTAGGCTGACGTTGATAATTATTATCCAACTTTTAATCTACGTCCTCATACCCATTGTGCCGTTTTTCCACCAATTATCTTTGACTTTTAGGAAGAGGAGAAAAAACTTGGCAAAGAAAATATTTATAAGCATTCTGTCACGTCAAGAAAATTTACAACTGGAAAGAGGCTTACTCACAGTTCCAATACGTTGAAGAATTGCGAAATCAAAAAATAGACTCGATCCAGCGCTCGTATTATGCTCTACAAAAAATACAAGAGAGAAAGTTGCCAAATAGTGGCAATTATCAAGTATCCTCAAATCAACGTGTATTTGACAATCCCTGTTACTTTTTTTTCAGGGAATCTTTATAATTGAACAACGTCAGAGTAATGAAAATTTCCGCTCACTGACATGAAAAAAAACATTTTTAAAAAATTACGTACTGCCAAAAATGACAATTATCGAATGCTACATTCTTTCCAATCGTGCAAGAAGAACATATCGATTGGAAACAATTCTGATTACACTACCATTAAAAAAAATTACCTAGCAACTAAGGCCGTTGTAAGTTTAGAGATTAAGAGATTTTAATGCCATTAGGTTTGAACCGATGAAACAAAAACAAAATGCGAACTTGAGGGATGAATGAACGTGAACGGTGCCTATTATGTATGTTATGGAAGGTGAAAATTCCATTCTGAGCGCAGCACATGTCTGTGAAAAGAAAATAATTTGGATAAGAGCACTGTATGTTAAAATGCACGCAATGTTGTCCTGTGGCCCTTATACCGCAATGTACAAAGCTCCGACGTTAACTAATCACTTACGTACCCTTCCTTAATTATTCATTACTTTATTCGAAGAAAAAAAACAAATATACGATCGATACACGGTATGTCGAAGTGAAGTAAAAGAAAAAGAAAACTTGTTCATTATCTTAGTGACCTGACCATTACTTTTAATGCCAATCCAATTACAGGAATTACCAATCCTAGATCTTTTGATATTCGAGAATAAAAGTAAAACGAGAAGAATAAAACTTTCGAACTCATCAAATATTTCAAAATAATATTGAAACCTTTTTAACATCCTTTAGCCTGTACGGACAATAAATAAATACTCATTTATATTCCCCAATTTTTGAAATTTATATCGTAAGTTTATTGCTGATATTTGCCATGGGCTATTGACATTAAAATTACCCGAGAAATTTCATGTACTCGAGATTATACGTTACTGGCTGCATGAGAAATAATTTCCTGAAATTGGCTTGGTGATGCTTTTTGAACAAAACTAAACGCTTGAGATTAAAGGAGTTGTACATTGAAATTTATTTTTCTCCCATGATCCCATGAAATACTTCCATTGAAATTTCACTCATTTGTTACCGTACCTTAATATTGCCCTATATAAGACTTGTCCTATAATTGAAGACCGTACCTATTTTTAAAGAGTAAGGAAAAACTTGAAGCGGAATTACAAGGGCCAGGAATTTGCGACTATGTGTACATAAATGCACCGTCTGTCATTGGGTAGAATCGAACACGAATAAGATATAAGCATTTATTCTAAAAGTATGAGAATGAAGAATCTATAATGAAAATAACGAACGTGCGCATATTTTGACAGTCTATCCAGGATTATGAGTGTTCGCAGAGTTGAATGGAAAAATGAAAGGGAAAAAAATGACAGGTACATTTTTTTTCAATCTGTCACCTTCCCCCCTCCCTCCCAATTTGACTCGTGACGTCTAGTTTTATTTAAAACAATTTTTTATATTTAATAAAATGGTCTTTTTTACATATTTTTTATGAAAAAAATTACTGCATTTAAAATGCTACGTGACTTAAGAAGGAAGAAGAAGAAATTTAGTTTCTAGATTTTCAACAAAACGGAAGCCGTCTTTTAATGCGTAGCTAGACAATTCGCTGATTTATTAGAAAATTTATTTTTTTATGGCTCAAATTATTCATTACTTAATTTGTCTTATTTGTATTTTCATGTTTCGCATTATTTGTCGTATTATAAATATTTTTATTATTTAATATCAAAATCCACCATGCGCCAAGGAAATTGTTGCTTTGGAAGTTTATTCTCAGCAGCATTAATTGAAAGTATTTTTTCTCACGCGCAGCTAAATAAATTATTTAATTATATCATTCGAATAATAAGTAAGTAGAGAATTTCATACATTCCAACCCGTACTGGTGTCTGTAAAATTCTTCGGTAATTGTAAATTCCATGAATTTTTACGTTACCGTACGATTTTCAATCCTTCGAAGCAACAATTTCGATCCCCCTTTATTTAAAAAATCACCCTCAGTAAATTTTTCATTTCTTTGAGTCTCGAGCCATCTAATGAACATCTCAGAATCGTGTTGCAGTAAAAAAAATACCGCCAGAAGACACAAATATTATTGTTATTATAGTTGCTGAAGACAAATTCTAACTGTTCCATTTCTCAACGAATATGAATGCGTAAAAAATTGAATCAGATTAATTTTTTTTAAGCCGAATGAACTTTCTCGTTATGAATGTATAATTTAGTATGTAAATTATTAACATTACTGAATTTTTGTACCTTAAATAAGAACATATTTCAGTGCATATTTTGAATAATTTTACATCGTAATTTTTTCGAATCGATAGGGAAAAATGAAGAGTAAAAAAAACAGAGTATATAGAAGTTAGTGGTTTGTTGTATTCTTGTTCTTAAAAAAAATCGCACGATATTTACCTTCGGTACTCTGACATGTCACTGGATGTCCATAAACCATATTTAGCCCATAAAAGTGTTTTTCCAAATGAAATGGACAGCATTTAATAAAATGTACAGTGATAGCAGCATTCGGAAAAAAGAAACAAATTCACTTGAAAGAGAAAAAGAATTTTAAAGGAGAAAAAAAAAATTAAATTATGTCAAATACTGAAGAACGTTGAGAGAATGGGAAATTATTTTGTGATACTTTCTTGCCAGAAAGAATACAACAGGCTGAGGCAGAAAAAAATAGTAAATACAATGTTACTAATTGATTATTACAAACAAATGAGAGATAAAAAAACGGAATAATAATTATTGTGTAATAGGATGATTCAGTGGACAAGGAGAAATACCATGTACATTATGTATTGCCTTGTGGCATAGAATAGAAACTAACAATGTAAATTTTGATCGTTTATCATTTATTTGGAAAAGAAGTGTCCTCCTCCATCCTCTTGAACAAAATATCGTCAGAGATGCAGTACTTTCGACATAATTACTCATCAAATCAGTGAAAATATGGACACAACTCGTATACTAACACAAGCAAACACTTAAAAATAGTATGTACAAAAAAATGTTCAAATTAAATAATCACTCATGACAGGAGTATCACACAAATGGCAAAATTAATTAAATAATATTAGGCTGTTGTCCTCCGGCGGTCGTTGTGGGTGGGCTTTTAGTCATCATCGAAGCCATAACATTCTGCATAACTTGTTTCTTCAAAAAGTCACTCGTCGCTGTTGACATACTCTGGTCTTTTCCCATTTTACACTGAACGTATCCATAAAGATTGGCGCCATTCAGTATCAGAGCAATGCTAATAAGCAGTAACCACTTGAATTTGAGTCCAAACAGTGCTATAATGAAGAAAATACTCCAGAACAGTGGACAGAGGATCAGAGCGAGCCAAAAAATTCTTGACTCTGATGCGTTTATACGATTCTGCTGAGAACCCTGGAACAAGGGGCACATAGCAGTTTCAACATAAATAAGCGTTATCTTCTTTTTAAGATTGAATGGACATTCACGAAAATTTATTCATGGAATTATTTACAGTGTATTGTATGCATTATATGCCAAACAGAAAAAAAATTGACCCAAGGCCGGTGAATCCAGGAACTGGAGGGAAGAATTTTAAAAGAAAAACCTCTCAGAGCCTTCAACCTCTCGGGTGTAGAATGCATGAGGTTGTAAAGCGATATTGAATTACAGTGAAAATTTATGTGAATTATTTGAACCTTTCTTGACTCGAAGACCCAGTGGCTCTTGCCGTTATCGTCTACGTAATTCCACCATCTGAGCCCCACCATCAATCTTCCAGTGATGTTCTTCACTGTCCAGAAGTCCATGGATAGCAATAAAATTATTGCCACAAAACTTGCTATAAAACTGTCGGAAAACATTCCGCACAGTACGTAGGTTACTATTGCTGTTGTTCTGAACGCCAGGTGGAAAAAAGTGACATAAGGATGCCTGAAAAAAATGTAGATTTATTGCCCAAATACCTCGAAACGGTTTAAGTCGTCTTAGCTCATAGCTGGCTTTTCGGAGAATATCTCGGAATCTAAGGGAGATAGTAAAATTTTCATAAGAACTTTTTTGTAGCTCTTAATTCGGTCTATAGAAAAGGTTATGACAAAAATTTTGCTATTTGCCTTAGATTCCGAGATATTTATTGAAAATTGACCAGCCGTCAAAATCGACTTGAACCGTTCTACCGCTTCGCTACTGAATTTATGAGAAATCTAAAAATCAATTCTAACTTGAGTTTCCCACTTTGGGCATCCTCTTCCTCTCCAAATCCGATTGTATCGTCATCCATCAGTAGTGGTACCTGAAAGTCACGCAAACATCATCCAAAAAATGACAACAACCTCCACCGATTCCCAAGACTTTCAATTCAACAAATACATAACACAGACTCGAATGATTTATTATCTATAAATTGTGGAATTTATTAATGATTTTCTTGAAATTGATTGTTCACTGTTTCTACGATTTGACACGTCTTATGTGAGTGACAGGGCTGTCCTTCACAATCATATGGTGATGGAGAAATCGTACAATTGTGAAATCGCAGAAAAAAGTGAGCAGACATTATCCAACTACCTTGAACCCCAGTTACAATAATAAATGCAGGAAATAGTTCATGCTATGAATGAGACAAAAACAAACAGAATTTGTATTGACACTCACCGAAGCAGAAGCCATCTTCACATATTTTTTCAATCTGTATTGGACAGATTTCTGCGCAGGACCACGTGGTCACGTGGAAGAAAACGCTAGTGACATCTAATGTCGATTGATAAATAATAGAATCATAACAATAGAGGTGAACGCCGCAAGGTGGCTGATAAAATTGGAGTAAATGAATTTTTTGGAAATGGAGCTCCACGTGTAATCCCATATAAACACGAATGCCCACGCAAATAGCAGGCGTTCTACCCCTCAAAAGCATTGAGAGGACATTGGTAGAACAGGCTGATACGAGTTGTGGATAATCCAAGTGGATATTATAGTCAAGGCTCTGTTTTGGCACGCAACAGTGAACGGTTGAGGTCATGGAGAGTGAAACGATATTTCAATAAAAATTGCAAGACCTTCATCCGCATATTCATGTCCCTGAGGTACTCGAGTCCGCGAAAGTTAGCTCCTGATGACCTCGAACTTCAGGGAGGATGTGGGATTGGAATGAAATTAAATGAATTTATTTAGAATCATCAGGTGTAAATATACGCGACCAACCGCCCCGGTGAACGTCATGTGAACTCAGGTGCACGTGTGCTTTAACAGTGTTCCATTCACTATTTTGACAAGGCTGATAGTCGGACCCATTGAGAGGTACCACAGTGAAGCAGTGAAAACTGACAGATGTTCGTTATTCGCCGGTGAGGGTGATTAAAAATGTTTGGATAGGCGGTGGAAGTTTGTTGGAGAGGTGGTGGAGATAAGCAGCACCGGGACTGGGTTTCTTGAATGTTGTTTGGTGTTATTCGAACAATCTAGTGATTCCATGTATCAGAGAGACATTGCATTACGGGGAAACAGTGGTACATGACAGAAACTTATCACGAAAGGTGATATTGATTTCTCGTGTTTTCTTTTGAGTTTTTGACATTGAATTTTTGACAGAGGATCCAAGATGATCAGAGATTTCTCACCACTCATTCAGGCCCTCATAGGGACCCTCTTCACCTGGGCACTGACAGCTGCCGGTGCTGCTCTCATTGTTGTCATCAGGGGAAAACAGGTGATGATTTTTTTGTTTTAATTTCCCGACCCGAAGGGAGGAAGTTATTGTAATGACCCCGAAAATCGAATGTGGAATTTCCACGATTTCTCCACATTTCTTGGTCGCTAGAATCATCCTGATACGTTTTTGAAGACATGTTCTGCATGTGTGTATGTGTGTGTATATGTACGTAATTTACCAAATTTTGTCCAATAATATCTTCTGAACAAATGAATCGATTCAAAACTTTTTTTTCAACACTGAAAAAAAAATTATTTTTGCCAAATTTCCATTTACTCAGAGAGAAGTATTTATCTTTTCAATATCGTATTTCTCCAGCCGAATCCTTTCCAGGCAATTCTCATTAGGTTTCAATTATGACAATTATATTGCTCTAGAAGATGATCATATTAGTTATGACCTCGAGTGAACTCCCTCAATGATTATAGGGGAGGCTGGGGTAAAATGGACACTTTAGACTTTTTTTTAAATGTTAATGACGGGTTGAAATGTTGATGAAATTTAGTTTTTTTTTTTTAATACAAACAACAATTCTCTCCCTTTGTCATGAGCTTAAACAGATCTCAATTAATAAATTTGTTTCTGAGTTATGAATAATGTTAAAAAAGTCCAAAGTGTCCATTTTACCCCACCCTTCCCTAAACATTAAAAAATTAATCGAAATTCTTCCCTGCAGAAAATAAGAAAATTAGGAAAAATGAGTAATCGTTGGAGTTCATCCAAGGTCATGTGTAACATAGTCATCGTCTAGAGCAACATGATTGTCATAATTGAAACCTAATCAGGCTCACCTAGGAATGACTCGATTGGAGAAATACGATTTTGAGAAAATAAATGCAAGTAAATAAATATTTGGCAAAAATAATTTTATTTCTCAGTGAATCGAAGGGTTGATGTGAATTGAACTGATTCGCTTATGAAGACAATCGTCTCAGTGGTTCATTAGTTATTCGCATAAAACGTGAAAAAATAAAAAAAAATGAGTTTTCTTTGAAAATTCTACAATTTTACCGGGAATAGCGATGGATTTTAATTTTGTTTAGTACGGTCGATGCATCTACATGTAATTCGATTTCGATTGGATTCTGAGCAAAATCTTCTCAGCCGTTTTCTTGTTATCCAGATGGCAATTTCAAAATTTGCGTCTTTTCTTTCTAATAAACAAAAAAATGGAATTGGTCGGGAAGTTATTGGTTCGACCCGTAATGGGTCACAGCCACTTCAACCCACCCGCAATGGGAGCAAGCGACCAACAAACCAAACGATTTTTTTTCTTGTTTTCAATTTTTTTTCTTGTTACAATTTGAAGTGGAAACAACGAAGGAATAAATGATAAAATGACGAAAAAGTGAGATACAGCCCAAACACGCAATTGATGGACGATTGACCAGGAGATAGACGGTGGGTTACGAATAGATAGGCGGTCATATTGAATGATTATTCAAGCAAATTCATCCTTCTGCATATTTAAAAATGAAGAATGATCCTTTTCGATAATAATAATCGAACAGATACCGTGTTTATGTGTCCTCATGACTGTTGTTTGACATTGTCCCGTCAACACTTTGTGACTGTTTTGTAACTACTCACACCGCCACACGGAGAGAAATATTCAATAAAAATTACGTATCTTTTCGTTTCTTTTCTGAACATTTCTCTCCATGTGCACGGAGGGCCAACATTGTACCTCGTGAGAATTTGATTTTTTTTACGTTCAAAATGTTCATCCACAAGAAATAAGAAAATCATCGTATTATTATACATTAGTTTTATTATTAAAAATGGAAATTTGTAATACAATTTCTATTATATTTTTTATAGAACACTAAAAAAAAGTTGAAATCGTCTATCTTTTGGTCGGTGTCTAGTTATTGCTCTGATTACCCTACATGCGGCACTTTTCTGTCAGTGCTGTTTTCAGTCATTAGAGGCGTATTTATGCCTCTAGTTATTGCGATAACATTTTTTATGAGAACAATTCTCCGAATTATTTGTGAGAAAATTATGGCAAAGAATACCTAACATCACGAAAATGGTAATTCTGAAATTAAATAAGAATATGGAAATATTAGCATACGAAATTAGTTACACAGAAGAATTCCAGTTCCTGGTAAAATTTTTTTATTCAGACACCAACATTATTATGAGCCACGAAAACAATCACTCAAGCAATTGCGACACGAACGCGATGCAGGGAAAATATGAATCAGATTTTTTTTTTTAAGCCGAATGAACCACATGTACATCGTATTGACCCGTGCAAATAGGACCGCTTGCTTTCAAAATTGATTGTTTCCGAATCTATGTAGAATAACTTAATTAGACAACCAAAATTGGAAACCGCAATACTGTAGATTCAATCAGATATCGGTTTCATAATTTTCCATTCATTAGAAATAATTCAATTCGAGTCGTATTGAGCGCACACTACGCTTCGTACCAGGAGGGCCCCGTCCATGAGGGGTGAGCCATATAATATACGTATTGAATTCTACTAAATTGCAATGTACCACTCACACATTATACTGCAATTTAAACATTTACAAGTGAAATTTAAACTTGTAAATATTTAAATTACACTTCTAAATGTTATCGTGCATAATTCGACAGGTATAATTCAACTAGGTGCCATTCAAGAAGACCACAAAATTCGTAAAACTCAATGGCGGGGATCAATGGACTTGGTTTTTTCTGGAATTCCACATGTTCAAACTATATCTATCGAATGGCACATAACAAATTGAAACATGGCAAGTTTGAATCATACAGCGTGGAATTCAGATTGATCAATGTGTAATTGGATTGGTACATTTCAATTTAGTAGAATTTAATATGTTATATCGTATACAGAATGTGAGGATTACATAAATTCCGAACATTGCAGACAGTCTTAATGCAAAGCATCAGCTCTGTCAAAAATAGAGGGACTTCATTATATGTAATATCCCGAGGCCGTAACTATTCGCACCATTGCGTGAATCACTCCCGTACACTCCATACACTCCACGCATGCGTGAAGTTTGTGTGTTTCACGCAGCCGAATTTTCATACTGCTGTGTATTTCACGCAGTTGAAGTTTCATACTACTGTGTGTTTCACGCAGTTGAAGTTTCATACTACTG